CGCTAGGTGCAAGGGATGGGTGATACCAGCAAAGGAGACTGTCATACATCTCCAGTCTGGGGAGAAGAGGGGGCTTTGAGTTGGTCTATGATGCTTCTCCGTCACGGCAGCGAGGCAGGAGGAGGGAGCCTCCCTGCCTCCTCTTGCCCTGCTCCCCGGCACTGCGGCACCCGGCATCGTGGAGCGGGGCAGCATGGTGCCAGAGCTGGACATAGCGAGGGCTGCCCCAAGCGCCCGCTCATCCTGCTGCCTCCCCGCTCCTCTCATCCCAGCCATGGCAAAGGGATGGCACGGAGGACCTGGGCCCAGCGTCCCACTGCCACCGCCGCAGGCTGGGGCAGCTTCCCCCAGAATATAGCGGGGTAACACCAGCTCCCCGCCAACCCAATGGAGAAACTGAGACCTGGCACAAGTCTCCAGGTGCAAAAGAGGCCCAGGAAGAAGCAGGAGCAGCCACTCTGTGTCCTGTGCCCTCCCTCTCTGCCTGTACCCATCCCACGCTCAAGCCAGGCTGGGGGATGGTAGAGAGGACCCCGCTCGTTCCCAGCCTGCAGTCCCACTGGGACAGAGATGCAGGGGACAACGTGGCTCAGGGCCAGGGGGTTCCCAGCAGAAAGGGGAGCTATAAATACCTGTATTTTCTTCTTTTATTCAGCGTGTACATATGGCGTGGAGGGGTCTGTTACCAGCTGCAGTATTAGGGCACAAGGGGGGGGACACCCCGAAATTCCCAGGGTGCCCCCAGGTTCAATCACAAGGGAAGGGGACACCTTGCAGGGAGGGTGCCTGGGACACAGGGTACTCGAGGGAACAGGGGGCAAAATGTAGGCATCAAGGCAGCCCTCTGCATGGGGACACTGGAGGTTGGGGGGCAGGGATGTCCCCAAGGTCATGATATGTCAAGGCCTCAGGGCTGGATCCTGACAGCACCTAAAGGTAAGTCCAGCTTTTCCGGCCCCAGCAAGGGGGGACTTTTTTTGGGTGATGCAAGAGCGAGTAAAGCCCCAACAAGGGTTGGGTTGTCACCAGAAGAGGGGCCAGCGCGAGGACAAGAGAGGTCCTCAGGATGAGGATATCCCTGGAAGGAGGTGGGCACAAACTCTGTCGCCCATAGTCACATCCAGACATCATCCCATGCCCCCATGGGCTGGATCCACCAAGGGATGGAGCTTACACCTTGGGGGTGACAGGGTGAGGACCAAGTGGGACCGAGTGGGATGGCTGGTGGCATTGTGGGGTGTCCCCTGAGGTGAGGGCACTCGTCAGGGGGATCCGTGTATTCTTTGTATGAAAATAAATCTATTTAGCCAATATTTATACACAGGTGCCTTGGTTTGATTCCCCCTGAGCTCCTGTCACTGCTTTAGCCCCAGTTCAAAGCTCAGCCGTGGGAGATGTCCCCAAGCCAGATGATGTCCCTGGGTTGGTGGGTTATGGACTGGCTAATCCCAGTCTCCTGATCTGGTATGTCACCACCGTCCTCACTTTTAATGTCGCTGTGTCCACCTGGCCACCACAGCAGGGTGACAGCTGGGCGAGCACCATGAGGAGCACTGTCTCTGTACCTTTTTGTCATGAGGAGGGACATACATGGTCCCCAGAGGAATGTCCCAGCAGTGGGGAGCACAGCTGGCCTGACCGGACCAGCATGGGACATGAGGTTTTGGGACAGGACTCGTGTGCTCTCCCTGCCACCCAGGCCAGAGGGGACATGAGGCATTGGCCATGGGGACACATGGCCATGTGGTGGTCAGACATGACACAGAGCCATGGGGCACAGTGACACAAGATGTGGAGACATGGGGACATGGGGATGCAGGGCATTGGCAGTAGGGAGGTACAGGCACATGGGGACATGGATCTGCCCCGGACCCAGGGATACAGGACCCTGGAGATGCAGGAAATGGGGTCACAGCAGGAAGGACAGGGGACACAGAGCCATGGAGCTACAAGACACAGAGATGCAAGATACAGGGACAGAGACCATGGTGACAGAAGCCATGGGGAAACCGGGGAGATGGCACAGTTCATAGGGACACAATTAGGGACATGTTTTAACAGGTATGATGTTGAGGGGCTCACAGTTGGACTCGATGATCTCAAAAGTCTTTTCCAACTATAATGATTCTCTGATTCTGTGATAGGACACAGGCCGTGGGGCCGTGTGGACACAGGACGGTTGACATGGGCCATGGGGCCATGGAGCTACATGGTGGATAATGTGGGCCATGGGGACACAGACAGTGGGGTCATGGGGACACGGGATGATGACATGGGCCATGGCGTCATGGTCTATGGGATCTTAGGATCACAGGAAGGATGACATTGGCCACGAGGACATGGGGACACAGGATGATGACATGGGGACATGGGCCATGATGACAGTGGCCATGGAGCCATGGTGACATAAGACGATGACATGGAGACATGGGCTACGGGACCTTAGGAACGCAGGCAGGATGACATTGGCCACGAGGCCATGGGGGCACAGGATGATGACACTGGTCATGGAGCCACTGGGACAGAGGATGATGACATGGGGACATGGACCATGATGACATAGGCCATGAGAACATGGGGACATAGGCCGCGAGGACACAGGACGATAACATGGGGACACAGGACGATGACACGGGGACATGGGCCGCGATGGCGCTGGACATGGGGACATCCCTCGACAGCCGACAGGGGGCGAGGGGCGCAAGGCGGCAGCGGGGCTGCGTGACGTCACAGGGCTCCGCCCCTCACCGCCCATTCCTCCATTGGTTGGCTGAGCAGCCTCCGAAGCTTCCCATTGGCTGG